TGTTGAACGAGGGATGGCGGAAGCCCTTGTAGTTTGAGCCATTTCGTGTAGGCCGTCTGGAAGATGAGAAAGTATCGAGCCTTGCTTGGGTAGTAGGTGCTGTTCATATTGGCGTTGAGAAAAATGCCGAGATGTGTAGGGAGTTGGAGTTGGTCAAGTGTAAGAATGTAGTGGCCGTTGATGGTGGGGGTATCGGGATCCTGCAGGAGGGTGCGAAGATGATCGCATGCGCAGGGGAGGTCTGCTGGATCTGGCGGGGAGTGGAGGGTCCTCCCATGTGCGGTGGTTATGCAGGTGCCTGAAGCCTCAACGTCCTACGAAAATGAATGCCTTTCAAAAAATCAAGGTTTCTGAATTGAAAACCAGGTTTTTAAGTTAGAGGGTCGTACTTTCTAAAGGGGTCGTACTTTCATGTTGTCCATCAATGGCATCATGGTTTCCCATGATTGGACTCTCAATTTCCAATAAACCAGGCTTTCATGGTACAGCTCTTTCCACCTGAACGGGCATGCAGCAAAAGAAGCTGCCATCACTTGATCAAAACAATTAGGAAAATCAGTGGTGGTGCAAATCCCCTGGAAAAACAATGAGTTCAATCAACCTTTATCACCCTTCATCCCCGCTCGCTCAAACAGCCAGCGTTTTTTGAAAGCCGGCGCTGGCGATCTTGATTGACCAAATGGTCAGGGCCTTGGCTGATGAGCTGCAGAGGGGAGAAGGTCAAGATTCAGATACTGCAGTGGCACTGCAACCCTGTTCCATGGTGTACCCCTTTTAACTCAACCATGCGTATAATATATGCATCGCGGCTTTGCAAACGAAGCTGTGGGCTATATCTCTGTAACATATCGACACGGCCTGTAGGTGCACCTGTAGTGATCCCGGGTCACCCCATACATGCCTACAATGCTCATGTTACTGCACTAGAGCATGCATACCAGTGTCAGCGATCCAGCAATTGCTGCATCTTTCCTGGCTCCAGAGTCCATATCAAGATCGTGCTTTTTGACGCCTCAGAGGCATCTTATAGTCTCGACCCAATGGCTGCAGAGTCCTTTTCCTGCAGGTTGTTGTCCGGCTTGGCTGAGGAGTGGGATGCAAAGGCCATACTTCGGGCACGCATTAGGAATGAAGGCATCCTTTTTTTGAGAAAAGTCAAAGGTGATGCTCTTGCTATCAATGTCGCCGGAGCGGAGCATAATGTTGATGTCCTGGCCCCTTTGATCCACAAGGCGACTGTGGCGGATGGTGAGCTTCACTTGTGCACTGTTCCAGACTTTGAGAAGCAGCCACCTGTCCCAGTAAAAAGACGGGCTTATATGATTTTGTGTTTTAGCAGACCTCTGCCGCTTTTCTTCTCAGTGCAATGATCTATAGACTGAGGTATCGAGTGCACAGTGTGAATCAACTTAAACTTAGGATTCTGGCCTTGCACAAGTCGGCAAAAGGCGAGACCGCCCCCATAGACAAGAAGGAGGTGAAATTGGATGCATGGTTTTGCAAGAAGTTCTGTGTCCTCATCAAGCGGAAGTTGGGCCGCAAGCAGAAGCCCCGTTCAGCAGCATTCCGATACCTCTTGCAGATCGTTTCACCGCAGGAGTGGCCGGCTTTCATATTTTCTCTTTGGTGTTTAGTTACTTGGCTCTAAAGTTGGACGTAGACAGCAATAGAATGCTTCGTTTGTGCACTTACCTTCTCCACGCTTTCTTTTGTCAGCACCTATTCACCTGTGGAGGCTTTCGGCGCCGAGCCGGATGATGCTGGGAGCGATGATGATGCAGTGGAGGAAATTGAAGATTCCGAAGCTGAGGGGCCAGCAGATGCTGATCCGGAGGAGCCAGCAACTGCTGATGCCGAGGAGCGTGCAAATGCTGTTCCCGAGGAGCCTGCGCTTGCTGATCGTGAGGGGCCTGCAATTGCTGATCGTGAGGCTTTCTCAGCTACTGGCAATGTAGCTGCAGTTGAGGATTCTGAGCCTACCGGTGGGGTGGAGGTTGTTGATGATGGAACCTTGACCTTGGATCTTCCTGAAGAGGTTCCTGTCCTTGAAGACTTTCAGGCGAGCGGAGCTCATGAGTCTGAGTTGGTCGAAGATTCTCAGGCGCAAGAGCTGCCTGATCTTCTTCTTGTCCAGGACGAAAAAGAGGACTTCAATCCTGATGACAAGAAGTTGGACTTCAAGCCGGATGGCACAGAGCCCGGAGACATCTCGGACAAGATCCTGAAACTGCAGGTCAAGATCGGAGAGCTGCGCTTGCAATGTGATCAGAAGAGTTTTGGCTGCAGTCATGGTCCCATGAAAGCAAATTCTTAATTTGAGGGGCCTCTTCTCTTTGAAAACAAATCGAAAGAGTGAAGCCTCCACCAACGCTGCCTAACGCTGCACTAGGTAGATGGCCCAAGACCAGTCCCAAGACCTAAGTCCCTGTAGCAACAACTCTTGCGCTGTGCAGGAAGCCAGAGATGGCCTCCAGCTCGGATGGTCTGAAGCGGTCTTCGACTGCGTTGATTGAGATCCCTGACAGCATCCCCTATGGCCAAGACACCATGGACACTGCCGTTATGCAGCAAGAGGAGATGGAGGAGATCGCCAACCGCTTTGCAGAGGAGCTTCCTGAAGAACCTCTTGACAATGCTGCTGCCTGTGTCCCTCAAATTCTCATTCAAGACTATGTTTGTATTTCTTAACGCGGGGCAAATACGATATAGGTTAAAGTTTTAGCACTTTGGTCACAGCTGGTCTTCGCATCTTGGCTAGGTTTTACGACGCATGCAATTCGGACTCGTTGAGGCGGTTGATGCGGAGGAGGGCATTGAACGTCCTGCGAAGCGCCAGAGAGGGCCTGGCCGGCCCAAGAAGGCCAATGGCAAAGCCAAGGCCAAGGCTAAGGCTAAAGCTGCAAAGGCCAAAGCAGCGCCCAAGAAAGCGAGCAAGAAGAAGGCTGACGACTTGGCTGGTGGCAGTGATGCTCCAGGCGAGTCAGAGAACAAGGAGAACAAGCGGCAGCGGAAGGCCGAAGGCTCAGAAGGAGGGCCTGCAAAAAGGACAAGGCAGCCCAAGTCCAAGTCTGTGCCTGCAGAAGTCCCTTCTGCACCTGTTGAGGGGGAGCAGCTGAAGTGCTTTGCAAGGCGTCGCCGACCTGCCGGAGAGCTCGCCGCCGTCAAGTGGGATGGGATCAGGGAGGCCTTCAATGTGCAGATCAAACCCCACCTCTCCAGCTTCTCTGCTCACGAGGCTCGCTCTTGCACATACATAAACGCGGTTTGCAATTGCATGCTTGCAGCACCGTGCAGTAGAGTGCGCGTTTTTTGGTAAGTTCATGTAAGTTCAATTTCTTGATCAGTTGCATCGTGCTTCAACTTGCACACAAGGGCACCGATTGCCAATAGTCGGTTCATCATACATATCATACTGATCATGTATGTTAGATATCATCTCCTGGTCATGCTGTCCGGCAACCATTATGCAGGCTTCCTTAAAGCTATACCTACCAATGGACCCATGGCCACCAAAGCTGGTATGGTGAGGTTCCCAAAACACAACATGGCACTGATTGTTCTGGACCCCAAACTTTCCAAGTAGCACTCTTGGACTTTACCCCAATGTTTGTATGGCTCCATGTTTTCTGATCTTTATTCTTTGTTCCACCTCCAGATCCCACGACATCAGCAGTTGGGACCAAAGTGTGCCCATGTGCTGAAGCCAACTCTGCCCCGACTTTGGCAGGACTATTTCTGGAGTTTCTGTACCCGACTCTGGGGCAGCCGCGCTATTGATGCTGACAAGGTGCAGCATGAGGCAAAGGTGGCAGCCAAAGGCTACCTAGATCAGCTCAAGGCCACTGGCCTTATCTCCTGATGCGCTTTTGATCTTGAGTTCAGAGGGCAGGTTCTCCAATGATTGTTAAGAAGGTCCATCCAAAACCAAGCTGGCTCGTTGAATTGAACCCTTTCTGCCCCTCCTCATTTAGCTAGCAGCTTACTGGGATTACACCGGCGTTCGACTTAGGTGAACAGGCCCAGGTCTTCAACCAACTGTCACTTACCACGCTGTCTGGGGTGCCCTGTCATCCTGTGAATCCTTTGGGTTGGAATCCAACTTCTTTGCTTCAAACATCTTCAAACTCTGTGTGGAACCCTTTCACAAGGGCTGCAGGGATGTGGGAGACAGCGTGGTGGCAAAAGGCCATGATTTGGGACCTGGAGCTTGCACATGTTGACGTGTGGAAAAAAAGAATCAATTGTATTATTTATAGAGGTCTAGACGCTACTGTAGAAGGCAATGATGAATGATGGACTGGACAGCCAGAACTTGAGATGCTGCTGAAGGTGAAGTGGAGCCCCCCCTTCTCCCAATGGTGAGCCCTCTCCTTCCGCAATCTACGCTCTCCAAGGTCAGCCATTCCTTACCTTGGCGATGGGGCGCGGGGATGGCTGGAGGCGCAGGCTTCAACCGCAGAGCTACGCTTCCAGTCTGAAGAGTGGGCCTGGCCAATTTGTTCAACCAAAGAAGTGGAACCCGATTGGAAATGGTAGCTCACATGTTCAACTCAGCTCAATCCCATGTCTACAAGACAAACCCATGAAGAGCCTGTGCACTTGCAAGGGGGGTTGTGCTGGGGCCGCCTTTCATGCAAAGCACAATTGTTTTGCAGGGCAAACCATCAAGCATCTGTCGTAGTGCTTTCGAGTCGCGTCCCGGGTCCCGATGGACAAAGAAGCGAAGCTTGCCCTGGTCCTGAAGCGGCTCTACGTGCTTGGAGCGCCCAAGGTGACATGTGGGTTCAACTGTTGTCATTGCAGTCTGTGCCTGGCAACCTCACATGTTTGCAGCTAGGGTTTCCCAAGAAACACTGTTTTGTTTTCGGTGGCCTGGGAACACCGACTTGTTCAAAACCAACAAAAACAGCAGGCCCCCTGTTGATGGGCCTTCACAGTCTTTGTTAAGAAGGATCAAGGTAAGCATGCCCAATGATTACTGTCGCTCACCGCAGATACTCATGGCCTGCATTGTCCTCCTCCACCTTTCTTCGAATGTCCCCATCTTTGAGGAGGTGGGGTGTGTGTTTGTTGGGTGCGAATTCCGGTGAAGCGCACAAACTGCCCAGCAGTGGTGCTCTTTGCAGGCCTACGGCTTCGTTGAAGTGTTCTCAGGTGCTGGCTGGTGTTCCAGAGTTATGAGGACTGGTGGCCATGCAACTGCCAGCTTAGATATTCTGAAAGGTGACCCCAAGCCAGGGAAACAGGATTGCATGAACCTTCTTTCGGACAGTGGGTTTGCGCTGCTTGCCTCCAATATCCAATGGCCCATCATGAAGTCTGTTGTTCAAGGGTGTGCTAGCTGTGATATGAAACATTTGATTTTACAGCTGGGTTGTTGCTTTTTTGAGGCTCCTGCTCACGACAATTCTTAACATGAAGATGGACGACAGCCTGTGCCTAATAGGCTTGGTTTGCACATCTTGGGTGGCAATCAATTCCGCCACTCATGGGCGTACCCCTTGGCGCCCGCTGGGGAACATCCAATTTCCCTATGTCCGTGATGGGAATGAGCTGACGGCTAGGACTCTCAGCAGACTATTTTGTCATGTACAGTCTAGTGCACAAACCCGAGGATCTTTTAGGAGGTAGCTATCCGGAGAGGTAGTGGTCCCAGGACGGAGATGTCTACTGTATTGACACCAGTCGGTTCCCCGTGCCCAGGACAGCTCTGGCAGTCCTTGTGCTACAGGCCATGGGTGCTTGCTGGTGCATAGAGCAACCCAGGAGCAGCCTGGTTTGGTGGCACCCTCGACTCCGTGCGCTGCTGCGATCGATTGAAGAGGTGTGTTGTTGGGAGGGTTTGGTATGTGTTTGGGATTGGGTTAGGGATTCCAACAGTACTGCAGTTATAAGAAAGTAAAGGATTTGCTACCCTTTTTGGGGTGGTCCCAACATGCATATCACCAGACTTGCTGGCAGATCTTCTCAACTGCCTGGTGGATGGGGCACTATTACAGCGCCACGGCCAAGCGCCACATTTGTTGGGCCAACTCCAAGAAGATTGGACGGCTCAACAAGGGTGTGCTGACGAAGCAGCAGCGAAAGTCGATCTCGGACTCTGGAGTCAGGTCTGCCCGAAAGGGTGTGTCCAAGAGTGGAAAGCCCAACTATACAGGAACTTCTGACCTCAAAGGGACGGGGATCTGACCTTAGTTGCTGATACTCATTCCTGTAGTTGCACTGTGGATTGAAGCTATGTTGGTGGACTGACTATGGTATGGTGACTAAACCCATGAAATTATCCATGATGCAGGCATCCAGGTCCAATTGGTAGAGGGTTTGGACAGGATAGGTCCAGGGTCTTCTTTCCAAAGCGTTCGCCCTGAAAATTGTTCCGTTCATCTAGGCAGGGATTTGGGATTTTGAGTTTTGAATGGGTGCACCTTCAATAGCTTAGGAGGGTTCAACCCACTGCTTTTCAAGGTGTCCGCAACCCATGGCCCCAACAACCAAAAACAATGTTTTTTGGACACCTTGGAGCCTTTAAACGTCCTTGCCCTGTTGATTATATAGTACTTGAACAGCAACACGGCCTGTGCTCAGGACATACCCACCCCGCTTTGGCATCCAACTCTTGAAGATCCGTCGCCAACTGATCGACACCCGCGTTCCTCCACCAGTGGTTCCTGATGATGTGGCTGCAAAGGACCTGCAGGAGTTCTTTCGAGATATGCCGTGGGACGACCTACATGAGGATTCCAACCTGAGGGATGTTTTGTTCTACTTGAGAGGGAACACATCTCTCAACTTGGGTAGCTGGCGCCCCTTGTTCCCAACCTTCATGTGACAAAGTCCCGTTCCAAGCTCCCATTGATTTGTCCGTGGTGAGCCCCAATTCGGAATTGCTGCTTGATCTTCTCATGCATGACAGCGTGTGAGATGGAAAACACAAGGACCAGCAGAGAATTTGGCACCCTCTGCCAAACCCATGGGAAAGTAGGCCTGAACAACTTGTGAAGGGTGCTTTAATGGTGGGTCGGTGGCCCAAAGCTTTCAGGGGAAGCTATGCAGAGTGTTTTTGGAACTTTGAAAGGACTTCAAGCCATTTACATGTTTGTTTTTGGACCGATTTACCCGTACATGGAAAGTACGTACCAGATCCCTACTATGTACGTACAGAGCCCGTATACAACCCGTACACCGTACAAGGGGCGTGCTTTTGCGTAAAAGGCTGTATTTTTCCGTACTGAAACACGGTCCCAGTACGTACTATTCAAAGATTCCGGGCCTTCTGGAAATGAAGCATTTTGGACTGACATCATAGGATTTGTTCTAGTTTTGTCAGTCATCCATGCTGTTTTCTAGCGCCCGCATTGATCAAGCTGTCCAAATTGGTTGCAGGCCTGTTGTCCAGGTGCCATGGCCAAAGGTAAGCCTGCGACGTTGCGAAGACAGGTTCCATCGAAGCAGCTTAGCTGTTCCGAGCTCGCTGAGGGTAATCGGAAGCTTCTAGACATCAAGCAGGAAAAGGAATCGCCAGCAGAGCTGATGCAGAAAATCCAGGACTGCTGTACCAACACTAGCTCGGCTAAATACATAGAAGTGTCTGGGGTCAATGTGCCATGGAAAAAAGTAACATATGAGTATAAAATTGTTGCCGGATCACACATTTTGTAGAATCAGACCGTCTCCATTTACACCTGAAGGAATATGAGGATCAAATCAAAGCCTTGAAGAAAATGCAAGAGGTATCTCAAATGCATTGTCATACAAATACTGTGCATGAAGTTATGTGCAACTGCATCCCCACAATTTTAGGTCTCTGCTTCAATCCTGTCGGCTTTCTCAGGAAGCTGGCACCGGAGCTCACCCTGATGATGACACCGTTCCCGCTGCCAAGTTGCAAGACTTAGGAGAGAAATGCTTCAAATCATACACCATGTTGTTTGATTCCTTTTGTTCAGGCTACTGAGGAGGAGCTCAAACGAGCCGGTCGTAAGCCTGCACTGTGTACTGCTGCTAAAGCAAAGGCAAAAGCTTCTGCCAAGAGTAAGGAACAGACCAGGAAAGGAAAAGAAAACCATGAGATGGAAGAGACAAACCAGACAGAAGAAGCAGAGAAGAAGAGGAAGACCAGGGCTCCACCCACTCCGTCCACGGTCCCTCAGACTGATTCTGAAGCGCCCTCCGCGCCTGAAGTCCACCCTACCCCCAGCAAGCTGGTGCCACCAAAGCGGGTCAGGGGCAAAGCTCCTGATCCGGGCTCGGAGATTGCTCAGGTGAAGGAGGCTTGCCCTATGCAGCTTCATATGTTAGTATGTACGACTATATATAGCGGATATATTAAAAAACATATGTCAACATCTTTTGCTTCTGTTACACTGCAATCTTCATATGCTCGCGTTAAGTTTTAACCTGCACCGAGTGTTCACACACACAATTGCATACATGCATGCGTTCTATAGTGCAAAGGCCTTCCCATGACCCTGGCTGCGTATTAAATGTTGAAGTGTGTGTAGGCCAACGCCAAGCTCTTGGCCGAGCTTGCTGACTTAAAGAAGGCGTTGTTTTCGGGGGACCATGCCACTCCGCCTGGCAAGCGCATTCCTGCCCCGACACCAACATCATCCGGAACGTCATCATCGGACAAGAAATCGTCGAGGGCATCTGGCACTTCCACAGGTGATAGGACCCCTCGCACGCAGGCAGACGATAGTTCAGGTGGTGAGGATGTGTCAGAGGCTGCCAAGAACAACCGCTTGAGGAGACTTTGCGAGGTCAAGCCTAGTGGGCGTTGTCATGTCCCTTCCCCCATTCACAAGAGGTGGGCCAAGGGAGGTTCAGAGCGGATGACACTCCGTGATGAGCTTGAGGAATGTGGTTGGGACAAGGTGGGCTAACGCGCTGTCATGTTTTGTTTGATCCAAGCTGCAGTGCTTGCGCCCCTCTACCCCCCAAAAACACTTGGCAGGATGAGTTTGTGCACCGCATCACCAAAAAGATTCACGAAACCTCGACCAAATTCAGCAAGACCAAGCGCCGGGGATGGTACACAAAGGAGAAGATGATCAAAAAGCTTGGTTGGTCAAAGTGGCTTGCCCTCACTTTTTTGTAGTTCACCGCGGGCATGAGTTGCGCGCAATGGTTTGTGAGCTTTAAACTTTATTGTTTACTGCTATCCTATCAGGTCCTATCAGTTATGTAGTCTTATCTCCTGTGCGATTTATACCATCATGCCTCTTTGCTGCCTAAGTACCTACATCAAAGATGTCATTCGATATTGCGAGAAGCCTGGAAATGAGAAATTGGTGAAGACACCAAGCTTAAAATATATGTTTCGCATCTTGTGTGTTGTATTCACTGTGATGGCCCCTGCACTGCTTGCCATGCATAATGTATCATCTTTCCTCACTGCTGTTTGCAGTCTTCGGTTTGAATAAGGAAGGACAAATACAACCGCAAGATTAACAAGTACTACATCGACGTGGACTCGGACGATGAATCTGTGGACGAGGACTTAGAGAAAGAGCTCACAGAGGAGACCAGTAAGGCATGGTGAAACCCACTCAACTCTCAGCTCATTTGGTTTTTACTCAAGCTTTCTTCTAACAAGCAAAGTGCGACGTATAGTCCTGAGCAAGACCATCTGTTTTCGATCTGTGGGTGTTCGCTCGCCCTTTAGCAGTTTTAGCCAGTATCAATATTGTGGCTTGATCGGATCCATGCAGGCGGAAGATTCGATGAAGCTCAAACGGCTCGGCAAGGGGTTGGCCAAGTCCATGCGTGGTGTTGAGCAGAAGGATGACAGTGAAGATGATGCTGAGGGTGAACAGGTCAATGGTGGTAAGCAGGCGACACTGAGTGTGAATGCATGGGTGCATGTGAAGGTGTGATCTACTAAATCAATGTCTTTTCTTTTGGCCGCCTGTACTTTCTGCAGGAGTACAAAAACTTCAAGAAGTTTGGGGACAGCTTGATGGCCCGCTCCGCAAAGCTTGTTGACCTGCAAACGCAGTTGGAGGAAGCTATGGATGAGCGAGGAGAGACATCCCCGGACAGGGATCGAATCAACAAGTTCTTCTCTAAGTTGTTGTTTTCTTGATTTCACAGTTTGAGCGCATAGTATGGAAACCGTTGTTGTTGTGCGCGGCCCAGGTCAGTGTCGGGCCTCCAAACTGCTGTTTCCATTTTGGAGACAGAGTTTGAAGCGGTAGAATCCGTGAAGGTTGAGGTTGAGCAACTTCAGAAAGGTATGTCCGATGACGGCAGAAAGAATGAGTACACACCTCAAGCCTTACTTGGCAAACCAATATGCATGCATGTAGAACTTTGTGTTTCTCGAACCCTCTCAGGCTTGTCCGCAAAATTGATGAACAAGTTCGGAAATCGACAAAAGCGTCTCTTGGTTGAATTCTCTCATGGGTTTGGTTCCTGCAGCTGTAGGACTTCTGCATGAATGCAACCAGTGATAGCTAGCGAAGGTGCTGCAAAGTCACCACGGCAGAAGCTTCTGCGAAGAGCCTCATCTGTGCTTGAAGTGATGTGTGCGTGAGTTGCATCATACTTTTTTGGATATATGCCCCACGCTGCCCCACACCTCTCTTAGTCCTAGTCCACCTCTGCTGAGGAACCTCCTCAAGAATCTCAACAAGAAGAAATGAAATCTGCGTCGGAGACGCATAGATCTGAGCGAGGACTCTGGTGATGGGTTTTGCCTTTGAAGTTGTTTTAACAACTTGCACGGATAGGTGGGACTGCCAACATTTTGCCTGATGTGGCGGCCACAAGTGTGGTACACGCCTCATGGATTGAAGGGGTGTTTGCATGTGCGATGAACACATGCTTCGTTTGGAGCACTGCTTGGGGTCAGTGATCAAACCAGTGCGTGCTTGCAAAACGTCCGCATGATCCTACCAAATTCCACCACCCATGTAGCTTGCGAGCATGAATAAACCTGTGGCCATGATGTGCCAGGTGAGGAAAAGCCTGGCCGTGTATTGGAGCATCTTGCTGGCTTTGTTGCTCGTGGGGAGCGGTGCTTAGTACAGCAGTATGGTACACAACTTGCTTTATGAAAAGCGGTATGCATGATATTTCATGGTATTTTGTTCCTTATGAAAAACGGTGTATGCGTGCATCTTTACACATGTAGCCCCTCAAGTTCACACTGCGACAGCTGAACTGAACATGCCAAAGAAGCATCTATGTTAGTTTGGGGGGATGTTGATTGTTTCACGTACAGTCTCTCTTTAGGACACACAGCCTCCCCCTCCCCCTTGGCCAGTCCTCCTCATGCTCGGTGGCTCCATCCATCACGGGCACACCTCAAGGTCCAAGCTGCTCCCGGTGCATTTTTTGAGTATCCATCCATCGACTCCCAACTTCAATCAAATCACCTCGACCCACACTATTCCAGATCAAAACGAACCATGTCTTTCTTAGCCATTGACAATAGACTAAAACAGGGCCTCATTGTTTCACCTTGGAAGTGCACTCATCTCCATTTAGAGTTTACTTCTGGGAACGATGTTGTGGGTGGGGGACTTAAATCGGACTATCCCAGGTGTGAAGGCAACTCTATGGCAACTTTTGCTGTTACGTGTGGGCTGGTCAACTCATTTCCCACAGCGTGTACCAGCTAAGGAACCTACCTCCCATGTTGTCGCTTTAGCTCGCGCAGAAGTTATGGACAATCCTTCTGCCTCAAATGCGATGCATCGCTTTGCTGGTTTGCGCTTGAAAGATGCGGAGGGAGGTGCCCACAAGCAGTTTCGGGATTTGGGCTTTGCTGTTCCAATTGGTGTGGAATACACTGACCTTGCCGAAGGTCAAATGAAGAGGTTCCCA